ACTTTAACTCTTTGCAGTAGGTTTCAGATTTTCTACAGTGAACAGAGTGACTTAATTACAAGTGATTAAAAATTTGAAATAATCTTATAATGAACCCTGAACTGTAAGTGGGCAGCCAAGTCCATTCTCTCCTCTCGTGAGTCTGGAGCAGAACGGCAGCAACCCAAACCGATTGCTTTCTTGGGCAAGCAGAAATGGGGGGACGTGAGAAACTGCTTTTCCAGGCAAGATGCAAATCCAAAGCCAAGAAATGACCCATTTAATGGAATCATTGGCTTAGATAAATTCTACAAGCCCACACTTCAGGCACAGTAAAAACAAAGGTGACATTTGTCAGGCAGAAGAAAAGGGCTCCTGGTGCATTTCTTTTTTTCTTAAAATTAGTCCTTCCTGCTTTTCATTCATGCTTTCTTTTCACCTGCCTAGCACTGAGGAATGGCTTTCATGACTGTGAACACTCTCTGGGTACAGCCCAACAGAAATTAACCTCAGTGCCACGGATTTTAGGCTTGCTAATCTGAGATCCCCTGAGGAAATAAATCCCCCTGTAATTACCAAGATTTCAAACTTCACACCCTCCAAAACAGTTTGGATAAATAAAGATCCTATTAAAACAAGTTCTGTAGTTAGGAGAAAATGCACAGCTCCCCTCGCCTTCTAGAGCAAGTGTGTGGAAGGGGGTCTCCGCAGGACAGGACTGTCAGGCATTAGGACAACCGGGGGATGTAGACAGATAAACAACCCTTTCTCCCTTCCCTCATACTTTCTCATGTGACCTGATCCATTTTAAATTGTTTCTTTTCAATCTATGCCCCATAGGATATGTTAGAAAAATATGAATTTATCACATGGAATAAATCAACTCAAGTTTTTGAGTTTTAGATCCATATGCAAGACACCAGAGCCTAGCAAGAATTCTCGTATGTTATAATAATGTAATTTCCTTGTGTGTGTGTTTTTTTTCCCTCTGCTCAGGCACAATGGGCTTATAGCTTTCCCAACTACTTAAGCCTCTAGGCTCTTTGGGAATCTGAGCGCTGTGGACCCAGAATTAGACTTGGGAAAAACCATCTACTTCATTTCCCTCTCATTCTATTTGTTTGTTTGTTTGTTTTTCTTCCAGTACCAGGAATCGAAATCATGACCTTGCACTTGCCAGGCAGGCGTTGTGCCACTGAGCTAAATCCCCAGCCCTCCCTCTCATTCTATAGGAGCCTCTGATAGACTCCTCTAAGCCGAGCATTGTGTCTACTTTCCGCGAGAGAAGGAGTTTGAAGGCTTGGATGGCAAGAGCGTTTGCTCTCCTTTAAGCTTCTTTGTGTCCAGCTTTCCTGGCCACTCCACATCTTTTTGCCCATGGCTTCCGATCCAAAGTACCTGCTTAAATGTAGCCAACGTGCACACTTCTGCTGGTCGGGATCTCTATTGTGTCTCTCTGCTGCAGGGTAACCTCTTGTTTTTAGACTTATAAACAAAGCAAAATCAAAACAATAAGCTCCCAGAGCTTGTTCTGTGTTTGATGGCACTGTCTTGGGGCTGCAACAACAGCGCCGTCAAACTGTCACCGTTCTGTAGCACTTGCCCCCAAATGCCAGCCAGGTCCGCACCTGCGTAACCAGGATGGGCATTGTGAATCACTCTGTCTGCCACCACATAAAAAGCTAATTTCACATTCAAAATGTATGTTTTTTTTTTCAATACCAATAGCAACAAGAGTGTGCCAAAAAATTCCCCTTGAAGCTCTATTCTGTTTTTTAAACTACAGAACATTCTTTCATAGTTTGACAGTTAAAATGCTGCAGTTAATGTAATAAACAGAGAATTTTTCTAAGTAGCCTGTCAAAACAAGTGACACTTTTTTTTTTTTTTTTTTTGGCTAGCGAGTCTTAGATTCAGAACAATGGGAAGTACCTTTCAAAGCAACATCTTCATTATACAATCAAATTCTCAAAGTAATCTTCTCATCAAAGAATATTGTGTTATTTCTTTCCCGGTAATTATCGGAGTTCTGCAACCTCTCTGGCAGTGGTGACTATTGTAAAATGCAGCTGTGCTGAGTTAAAAAATTGGGGGTCTTGACCTGGTCGACAATGAGCCAATGCATCTCATAGTTCCACCCTTCTTAAGGATTTGGCAGCAGGAGAGACATTTCTAGGGCCTTTGAACATGCTCTTCTTCCCAGGAGCAGAGGGCTAAATTGATCTCTTCATGGATAATAGAGACACTGGCATTTCTTAATCAATTACATTTTTTTCCACTTCGAATACAGCAGTGACTGCAAGTTTACACCAAATCTGAAAATGCGGTGTGTGTACGTAGAGTTTGAACATCTGTCTCACAAAATCATATTCCTTATTTTTCACTTTCCCATCTCTTTCCTATCATTCCAGTAGGAAGAAAATCTAAGACTCCAAAGAAAAATTTCCAGCCCAGTTCCAGTGTCTGCAGAATTAAAAACAAGACAAAACAAACTGGAAAAATCCCAAGACCCGCCCAAAAGGATGTATCTTGGAATACCACTACAACCTCTACTTTAGCAGCCAGTGGTAGAATGGAAGAGCTGAGCTTTGGAATGTAATTTTCTCTGAAGCATCTGCAGGTTGCCAGGGTTCACATAATTCATCCTTTATGGAAGAAAAAGGAGGCAGACGCTCCCATCTCTAAGATGACCCACTGCAAGCCAGCTCTGAAGTCTCTTATGATAAGCCAGAATGTTTATACCACTCAATAAAATAAACATTTGTTCAAGCTGAATCTAACTTGAAAATGCCTTTCCCATTGGACACAACTGCACCAGAGGCAGGAATTACTTTATTATTTCTTTTAGTCTGTTCGGTGAATCAAATGTATTTCTGCCTTGCTTGAACAAACCGAGGGCTGACTGAACATTAGCTAGGGCAGTCCACGCCTTCCTTGATTCACTCGGCAAAGGCTTATCTGTGGGCGACCTAGTTAATGCAGAGCTAGTGATACAGCCTTCCTACTGGACACCAGGTCCAGCTCCGTCCCCCAGGACATTAACACACTGCCTTTCCCCTTTCAGCATGTACCACGGCTGTGATGCAAGGTGGCCTGCAGGTCTTGAGATTGGCCTCCTGCACTACTTGAGAAATGAGGAGCAACCCTCTCGTTGCAGCCTTCCCTCAATGCCTCAGCATCTACCATAGCATCTAGAACAAAAGATGTGCAACAAATACTGGTGAGTAAATGAGTAAGTCAGGGGAAATGAGATGTCTTTGTCTCTGAGAAACTCAGTTCATAGCAGTGTTTCTCAGCAGGGACAATACTTTGGGGGCAGGGCATTATTTGGGGGCAGCTCTTTATTTTGTGTATCTCCATGTGACCGGTATCCCTTGGTCCTAGGCTCTGCCCAGTGAATGTTAGCACTGCCCTCTGATGTACTGTGACAACCAAAACTATCCCCACGTATTTCCAGATGCTCCTTAAGGAGGTGCCCCAGGCCTGATTCAGAACCACTTTGTGAAGGTGGTGTGAATGAAGGTGACACTAAGGGCATGAATCCAGGAAATGACGCGGAAGGACAATACGACAAGATAGGGGAGGCAGACTGATAGGAAAGAGAGCAAGGTTTAGAACGCCGTTGTCTTTTTGCATTCCCGAAGCCCCAGGGATTCTCTTGTGTGCCCTCAGCCACCCGCCCCTGTGATCCTTCAGGGCGCATGGAGCATAAATTGGCTGGGCAGGTTTCTTGGGCCCTCCTTCTGCTTAGGTCAGCAAAACTCTGACTTTCTGTTTGATATTTTGGATTTTCCTGTTAAATTTTTGTTTGAAGAAAGGGTTTTGAGGCATAAAGAGCTGAAAACCACGGTTCTAGAGTGAAGGTGATGGTACCGACTGGGATGAGGGAAAGCCTTTGAAATACACAGTGAGGGAGATTAAGACCCAAGAGAAAGTCTTGACAAAGGTGACATGGTGTGACAAAAATGAAACATGATGAAAAGCCTCTGTGGTACTGAATATGGCAAGTGAAAGGGAAAGAGCCCTGGGAAGGGAGATAAAGCTGTGCTCAGAGAGGCTATTGTGAGTTGGTCTGAGGGGTAGATATTCGGGAAGTTGGTCTGAGGGACAACTCTCTCTTGGAAAGTGCCCAGTGGACACACCACACATGTCAGTTTAATGCTCTTGTTGAGACCCAATAATAAACGAAGGTCAGCCAAGCCAGTGACTCAGAGTTGACATCCACAGCCGGCTGGCACTGGTAGCAGGGTGGAGGGCGATTTCATTTCCAACAGAAAAACATAATCTGTGTACGGGATTTCAGAACCAAGTGCCAAGCCATCCCCCTTGTGGCAAAGGTTCCCCTGCAGATCGGGACTGTGATGTATGCTGCTTTGCATGCCCCACAGCAATCAGTAGAATTTGCCACATCTGACAGCGGCTCAATGTATATTTTAGGAATCGATGTGATTAATCATTTCAAGGGCCCCAGCTTCAGCTGGTGGACAGTCATTGAACAGAAGGCAGTTTTCAGCTGAGCTGGAAGGCTTTGAAGCGGGTAAGCGAGCGGTGGTGTTCTGGCGGGGTGTGCGGTGCCGAATGGAGTGGAAGCTGTCCTGAGTGAATGCATGAGGGAATGCCCACGTGTGCAAGTACAGACACGAAGGCAGCGATGGTTCTTTTGACCTCTGTCCCCTGGCACTAGAAAGAACAAGGCTGCCACTGTTTGGCACACACACAGCGGCTTCTCTTTGCTGCTGGCCAAAGGTTATTTAGTATGGGGATTCGGTTTTGACATCCAGGGCCAACCAGAAAAGATTTCTATAAGTTTAGTTCATGAGAGTGGGAAATGGGTTCTTTGACCCCAAAATAAAAATAAAACAGAGGCAAACACTGCTGCGTCTGCCTTTCATTGTTTCTCCTCTGACCTGGGCATGGGGGAAGCCGAGACTTTGGAATCGGCCCTGCACCCCGCATCACCCCCACCCCTGTCCCTAGGTGCACCTGCGCAGTCCGGGCCAGCCAGCCTCAAGCTCACTCACGGTTTGCGCAGAATCATTCTCATGTGGGCATCGGGGCCCATCTGGGACAGCAGCAGCATGGTGTCCTGGAGCTCCTCGTCACACTCCTTCTTCTCCTCCTCAGTAGGCAAAGGGGCATCCTCATGCTCATCATCCAGAAATCGATAGAACAAATATTTGTCTTGGAAATGGTGCTCCTGATCCACTACGGGAAACATAGAAGCAGTGTCAGCTGTGGCTGGGACCCACAGGTCGGGTCACCAGAAGCAAACAGCGTTGGGCAGGACAGCTAAGTGACTGGGCACCCCGCGCACCCCGCCTGTCTGCCTGCGGGGCAGCTCCAAGACCGGGCCCTCCTGGTTTCATCACAGGCCACAGCCTCCAGACCCACCCATCTCCTGGCCACCCGGGGACTCCTGCTGAGAACCTGCCAGCTTCTCTGACATGAGCACTTCCACCCGCAAAAATTGCCTTGGTGACCTTTTCTTGGGTGGACATACATCCCAAACCAGAAAACAAGTGACTGCCACATCACATCATGCCCCAGGCTGGGTTTTCAAAGTACACACAAGAAAACTCTTTTGTCAGGGTGAGGACTGATGCTTTTCTATGTGTACCGTTCATAAACATTTCTGTCTCTACACTTTGAAAACAGAAAAGAAAATTAACTCATTGCTCAAATGATCAAAGCTGGCCAGACTAAGCTCACGCACTCCTAGAAAGATTTTGTGCTAGTTCTGATTTTTTAAAGGTTTTTACCTCTTGTTCTATTCTTTGTTTTTAAAAACTTATATACTTTCTCAGTGCTGGAGCTCAGGATTGAGCCCAGGGCCTCATGCATGCTATAAAAGGGCTCTACCACTGACCACTGAGCTACACCCTCAGCCCTCCCCTTGGTCATGTAAACAACAAGATTTAGATCTTTGTAGGACACACTAAACTAGAATCAGCATTTTAACAAAAGTCCCAAAGTGACTGGTGTTCACAGTCACCAAAGTAAGAGAAAACACGGGTAAAAACCATTAGGTTCCAAGATGCTGGCAAATGAAATGGATGATTTAAATATTTTGTCTGCTTGGAAAAGTGGTCTTAAGTAAATGACACAAGTAGTTCAGCCTCAGTAACACACTAGTCAGTCTCTAATGAACACTTGGTTCAGGGAGAGCTGCTGCAGTTACCAGGGACTGCACCTGCGGAGCACATTCCTGATTTTAAATATGGCCATGCCATGGATATACGGCCTGGCTCCTCCAGACAGCAGCACAGTTAAGAGGCCGCTCCTGAATTCATTGCTTACTTTCATGTCATCAGCTACACATTCCACTGCTCTTCATTCTGCCCCTACACCCAGATTGCTATGCAGTGCTCGGGATGTAATCACACTATCAATGAACCGTGACTGCAAACTAATAAACATAATTGGAACTGCTGCACTGGGGTTGCAATTTCATCTTCCTGTCCTTCATTCTCTGGAGTTAGAAAGGTACAATGGCGGAGCCTAGCAATCAGTAGCATCCATTCGCTGCATTTGTATTGCTAAATAAAGATGCTAGCTCGGCGGGTCCCCCAGGGGATCATAATTCTTTCCTGCCCATTTAAGAGTTCAGCCACAGCTTCCACAGGGAAATGCACTTAGCAGTTCTTGAGGATTTTCCAAGGACTGTGGTTCATCTTACCATGGTTGAGCACACCGTCTTCTAACAGGACTTGCCACATGCCAACAGCCTGAGTCCGGGAGTGAACACACGGGGTCTGCTGCAGCATCCAGTCCACAAGCTCGGTGCCCACACAGCATTGTCTAAAGGTGAGGGGACACACAGGAGGGGGCAATCACCCCTTTGCAGACACAGGATAGGAAATGGCTTTGCAAAGAAGAACCTCCCAAGCAGCATGGTGTCCTTCCATCTAAAAAGTTTCAGGGCAAACCAAATCCCACATGCTGCTGCCTCAGGTTCTTAAACTTGGAACATACCAATAAATGCACATGGCTCATGAGAGAATCTTTTAAGCAAGGCTGTCAAAGCAGAACAGCATTACAGTACGCAGTATTGGGAGATGGAAGGGCCAGTAGATGGGGAGTATTATCTGGCAAGCTAATCATAGGGACAGGAACTGTCATTGTGAGCTGGCTCTAGGAAAGCTCACTGTAAGATGAAGGCAAAGCATGACACTGATTTCCTTCACTGGGCCTCATGAGGAATGACTTAATGTGTGTGAGATGTGCAGAAGTACTCCGTGAAAGCTGTTGTAGAAGTGCAAAATTGTCTAGCCCTTTATATTTTCAAGTAATACTACTGAGCTTTCTCAGAGGGGTGTTGGGAGAAACAAGCAATTAGCAATGCAAATCTCTCAGAAAAAAGTTCTGTGGAATAAGCATTAGCACTTCCAGGAAGTCTGATGCCAAAGAGCACCAAATGCTTCCTGGTGTTCTGTGTGTTCACACAATAATGCCTAAAATGCCCCTTAGCGATGAGTAGGTCTGGATAGGCAAGTTAGGGCTATTAGTTATGAAATACTTAATCTCACACACACACACACACACACACACACATACACACGTATTAGAAAATACTGAAACCGTCAGTGCAGTGAGGGGGGGCAGGTGTTCCTGGAGGTGGTTCAAAGGAGCAAGTGGAATCTTGAAGTCCTAGGGAAAGACCCCAAGGGACACCAGGACAAGGCAGGAGCCATAAAGCAGCTGGCTGCCTGCAGCTGGGACTGACTCCCTAGTGGCCTTCCTGCCCATGCTAAGGAGGGCACCACAGCTGGGCGCCAGCTCCTTCCTCTCTAGTTTACACTGCAGTAGACTCCTGGTGCTGGCCACTTTGGAAAAAGTCTTGACCTGGGAGGAAATGTGAGATACAGCACTGGGTCTGCTAGGCATTAGCTATGAACTTTGGTCAACTCTCTGGTCCTCAGTTCCTCATCTGTAAAAGAAAGGAGGAGCAAAGGATGGTCTCTGAGGCCTTCTCTAGTTCAAATATTCTAGGATCTCTGAGAACTGTTAGAATTCCTGGGATGCTCTAACTTGGGGATGACACTGATTCCAGAACAAGGAGGAGGTCCTGAGACGGTCGTGGGATTTCCAAGTCTGCTCTTCCTCCAGCCTATGCCCATACCTTAGAGCTCTGAGGGGCAAACAAGAATCTACTTACTACTCACGCTGCACCAAACATACAACCTGTCAAAACATTCTTCTTGTAATTGGAGAATTTATTAATGGGAGAAGTCTTATAAAGGTATACAAAATTCCATTTCATTTGCCTAATTCAATGATTGCCTTTACTCAAGAAATGGTGCTGACCCCAGAGCACCTGAGAACCAGAGAACACTGCAGTCGGAATATGGAAGGGAGACACAGCTATGCCACTTGTAGCTGGTGGACTCACTGGGAATCCTTTCCATTAAGGATCCAGAGCATGCTGGGATCACAACAGGTCTGTTGGGGACTGCACTGTATCTGCAGAGGTTTCAATCCCCTCATGTTATTATAGTTTTGATATAATGGGGTGAGGATCAGGACGGAGCGAGAAGAGGAAGCTGTGAAATATAAAATCTGGGGCAAGGAGCTCAAACTGTACTATAGGAAAAAGAAGTCATGCCTCTGGCTTCCAAGGAGTCTACTGGTCATTACTAACAGATCATTAATTTGTGTCATAGGGTGTGGAGCAGACATAACACCTATATTTCAGGGGTTTACGGTCTTAGCACTATGGAGCAAGAGATTATAGCTTCTGACTTTTATTTTCCATTATTTGTCACCAAACATGACATATTTAGTGGAATTTCCCTAACACAAGTCAACACTTGGGAAAGCAAAATCACATCTTAAATTAAATAAAATCAAGATCCTTTAGGCCTGTGAGATTTTGAGATTCATGTAATGAGTTTAAGAGGTTGAACTCTAGGGATATGGAACACATGATTTAAACAAAAAAACCTTTTATTTTCCTTAACATTATAGGTGTTCACAGGGGCCACAAGTTGCAAAAAGAATGAATTTCCAGCATTGGAGGAAAAGATTTACAAATGTAACCATCCAAAGTAGTAGCTAGTAAAAATCACAAAAAGGCCTCAATAACCAATCTGTTGTAAGATGTGAAATGTATCCTGAGAGAAATGTGCTATAGGTCAAGGTGCTTCTCCAATCCCAACCTCTTCCCAAAAGTCTATCAGAAAGAGGCCAAACTAAGTTTAATAGACTGTTAGTTTGGGTCTTTTCCCATTAGTGTGTATGATTGAGAGAAGCAGAGGTGCAAAGCAGGATGAGCAGTATTTTCCCCATGTCCTCGAGGGACCAGATCTTGAAGTACATGTATGTGGCAGATTTGTTATAGGGAGAACAAGTTATAACTTTCTAGGTTCTGTCATAGATGATCATCTCTAGAAATACATCCATCCCTGGTAATGTTAACATCTGTATTCTAGCTTTCCACTGTGTCTTGTGCATTTGGTTCATGTGCGTCAAAGGTTCATGCCAAGGTTCATGGTTTCTGAAGTCATGTCTAGGCAAAATGGGAAAGAGGGTGAATGACTGCTAAAAGAGGACTGTGTCTGAACCACAGGCTCAGGAGTGGACAGTGAAGGCTGTGTCATACAATGTTTGTTCCAGTTCCTAACATTCGTTGAATTGATAAAATCAAAAGTAAGAATGGGACTTGAGATTTTAGTTGGCCCACTAGGGTTCAGGCACCCCAGAAGGCACAACTAACCACAGAGCCCTCACCATCTTTATCTTTGTCAATTTTTTTTTTCATTTGATTGTTCTTTGTCAGTTTTTAATTCCAGAGACAGCTATAATAAAGTCTATTCAATTTGATTATACATGTGAAGGGGTTGTGTACCTTACTGTGTGCATATTAGAATAAAATCTTACCTTACAAAATAGGTTGCATAAAAGACTTTGTACATTTGATTCATTACTGCCTTCTTAGGGCTTGCAACACAACAGTATCTGGCACTTAGGAGGTGTTTAATAAATTTATAGAATGACTGAATGAATAAAAGATCAGTGAATTTGGAAATAAACCAATCTTGGTTTAGATGCTGGTTCTGCCACTCACTAGACTTATGACTTGGACAAGGAAAGCTATTTGATCTCTTTGAGCTGACTCAGTTCTGGCACCTGAAAAGTGCTCATATCTAGCAGGGTGTGAGGAGGGTGAAATGAGATAACATATGGAAAGTGGCCTGGTACAGGGCTTCCGGTATGAAAAAGTGCTCAGTAAATGTTTACTGAATGTGATCTATACCTAGGTCTCCCAAAAGACATTAGCAAACTGAAATATAAAAATTTTCTTCTTGTGGTTCATCACAGTTAAATTAATGTCCAAATAAATTAGTGAAGGAGCTGCTGCTTCTAGAATATTAAGGATAACTAAACACACCGAGTGTAGTAGAGATCCAAGCAAGTTTCTATCTTCCGGAACCTGAGGGCAATTTAAAGCAGGCTGCCCCCACATGGAAAATGGGGAGAAGAGTGTTTGTTCCACTTCACTAAACATGAATGTGAGGGGAAAGACAGATGTTAGAATTAGCACACATACCGGTATGTCTTTAGGTGGTATTTTCTGTCTCTTATCATGTGAGGTGCTCGAGAGAGGATGGCATTTCGTAAAATTTTTCCAGCTCTGAGGATCTTCTCTGAAGGAACCTGGGTTTTAATCAAGTGGAAAGGAGGGAGGAGAAAGAAGAAGAGTTTATAGAAGGCAAACAAACTGGATGAATCCTTAAATCACTATCTAATCACAGTCTGGCTAGAAAAACATAACTCATACATATTTACATTGCTCACTTGTGTGACATGTCACTGTTTTAAGTTGAAAACCAAGATGCACTGAATATTTATTGTCTCTAGAAAATGGACCAGAGGTTTCTTGATGGGATGCTCTGACACACAGACCACCTCCAGCAGTCCCTAAGAAGTAAGCTTGGATGGTTTATCAACCCACCTACATCCCATTACCTTGGTAATGGTGTTAGCAGGACGGAGAGGAACGTGAGGTTCAATGAGAGGTGTCTGAAAAATAAAATGTCAAAGCAAAAGAAAATTAAACAAAAAGTTCAGTAAAGAAAATTATGGGTTGGGGGATAATAAGAAATATCAATTTTCATAAAACTCAAAATAAAATTGAAAAAACCAAGAGATAAAAGCTGCCTAAGGAGCTTGAATGCATGGGCATTCAAAGGGCAAAATTAGACCATTCAATTTGCCAGCATTTAAATATAAATTATTAAAAATGAAAAAAAAAAACCAAACAGGAATGATTAGATAGATGTTTGTAGGCTTAAGGGGAATACGTATCCACACAAAGCATAACAAACATCAGAGCGAGGGAAAAGGGAAAGCGAGGTAAACATAAACAGATTAAAATGACCTGTCTCAGGGGAAGGGGATAAAGTATTGGTTTGGGTGGAAATGAGCTGTTTCTCCTTTGCATAGTTAAGATTTTTTTTAGCAATTTTTATTTTTAAGGAAGTATTACTTTTCAAATGTGGCTTTATGGTGACTGTGTAATTCGGTTCCTGGAACTCCCAAGGCAACCGTTATAGTTCTCTTTATTTGACAGTCTTGTATCACTTTCAGGATTCCATGAAAGTGGTATCAGCTCTGTTATCTGCATCCTTCAACTGGAGGGCTGCTTCTGAATCCCATGGAAATTGCTTGCTACTTAGCTACGCAACTGAGCCCTCCAGTCTTACCCAGACCCTTTGCTCTTTCTCTGAAATATCTGGTAATGGTATTTCCTAATGGAGGGAAAAGATATGTCCAGGTAAAGGTGGTGGAACCGCCAGCAATACAATGATGCTTCTGCCATTTCCAGAAGGTAAGATGGCATTTACTTTTCATGAGATTGCAGTAGGCAGAACAATGATCCTCCGAAGAGGTCCATGATTTTTTCCCCAGAACTTGTGAATGGTTGGTTATACGACAAAAGGATGTATGATTAAGGAATATTCTGGTGGTTCCTGGTGGGTCAGTGAAATCATAAGGGTGTTAAAAGACAGGAAAAGGAGGCAGAAAAGTCAGAACCAGAGGGAGTGTCATGAGGGGCAGCTGGCCTGACTTAGCATGCCAAAAGCCAAGGGGAAGAAGCAGCCTTAGTCTAGAATCCTGGACAGTGGAATAGGCATGCAAACAGATTCCCCCTGCCATGGCATCCAGAAGAAACACAGTACTGCTCACACTGACTTTGGCCCGGTAAGATCCATTTCAGACTTCCACACTAAGGCATGTAAGATTATTAATTTGTTTTGTTTCAAGCCATTCAATTTGTTGTAACAAACTGTCATAGAAAATTGATATAGAGATTATTATGCTTTATTCTAAAGTCTCCTACTTTTTGCAAATGGAAGATATTTATAGTGAAGACCTGGTAGTTCTCCCTTTAGTGCTAACTTAGGATATATAATCAGTGGGGAAAATAAAGCTCAATATTAGTGTAAAGCATTTTATGTGCCTAAATGCAAATGTACATGTATAAAACAAATGCATATCTTTTTATCAAGAAGAAATTTCAAGTGGGTTGATGATTTAAATATAACAGAACCAAGGAAAAAGAAAAGCATACTAAGCTTTAAAAACTAGCATAAAAGAGACGTGGATTTATTTAGAATGACGGCAGTCTCATGGAACTTACTTATTTAAACATTTTCATCATCTTGTTAGCATCTAGTAAGCCTCCCCCACCTTCACATGACTAGAGCACAATGCTAAGCACTATAATAGTTTCTTAGCAGGACAACCTAGATCAAGGAATGTCAGCCTGGTCCAATTCAATAGTGACTTTAAACAGAGACCAGCTTTGCTTTGAAAAAACCTGTGTTCCCTTATAAAGGAACAGTGGATGAGAGAGGAACCACGAACACACTTTCTTAACAAAGCCCTGAAGAACACAGAGAGAATTCGGCGATAGGAATTCTGTGACGGCGTATCACCTGAGACAGTGTTCACAACTCTAGAGCATCCTACACCAGGGTGCTGAAAACACGCAGTTCAAACATGCTGCAGATCTCCCAGCTGGCTCCCAGTTCTCAGGCCACCCCTCTCCACATTACACATCTGGGGTTATGCCTAGTTATATATTTAACTGTAAAAGTCTCTGGTTATTCTTAAAAAAAACTAGTAAAAACCCATTTCTCTTCCTGTCTTGGAGAAAAGAGATCTACAGTAGATGGATAGGGGGTTAACTTTTGAGGTTACCCTTTGCTTCCTATGAAACATCTACTGTCTTTTGCAATAGACTTTGAGATGCTGGGTATGAGCAGTCAAGAGGATACGCACACTTTGAGGTGGATGATAAATGATTATTTTTGGTAGGCTCAATGAAATGTATTTGAAGACTGTCTTTTTATTTGTTTCTACAGAAATGGCTCTGTTTTAACAAAAAGCTAACAAGTAGTCCCTAGTTGAGTGTTGGACAGTTCCCTTTTAGGTTCCTTGGAACCCCGAAAAGAAAGTGCTACTACAGTGAGGGGAGCATCAAGCTTCCACGGGAATGTTCCTTTTGATTTGCGACTTCTAAAAGCCTAAAATGTACACAAGGTTATCTTTTAGCTAGGTAATCCTAGTACCAGCCTCAGGACCATGAGGCTGTTTAATCTGTTGAAAGGCAGTGTTCTCACCTTTCCCGGCTCAAAGATTTTAGGTGGAGGAGCAATACCATAAATGGATGCTTGGAGGAGGGCATGTCCCTTTATTTAGGACAGCTGTTTTTTTTTTTTTTTCTCCAGTACCGGGAACCGAACTCACGACCTTGCGCTTGCCAGGCAGGCGCTTTGCCGCTGAGCTAAATCCCCAGCTTGTCCCTTTATTTAAATAAAAACTCCAGCACACATGAGGTGAAAGCAGGGAAGGTGTTATTTTGAGGGAATGGGAATTTATTTCTGAAAGGGACACTACATTCAGTTATCAATATCCTATGCTCTAAGAACCACTGGCGCCTGGCAGTGTATGTTGTGAGATACACTGACATTTGTGACAGGCAAGAGAACAACTACTAGCCAAGGCTGAGTCACAGAGCACTGCATTAGAAGTGTGGTTATGTTGCTGCTGGATCCATTTATTTCCTTTATGATTTACTTTGGGTTTCAAGTAAATTTCCTTTTAAGAATTTCACCTTAGCTCTGCTATAGAGAAATAAGGAAAATAATTTCATTTTATGAAGATGAAGGTAAACAGTGACACTGGTGACAATTTGAATAAGAGCGCCAGCCCTACGGGCAGGTTTGCATATCTGCCATGCTCCTCTAAACTGTGCTATCTCCTCATTTTATTATTTTCATTTTTTTAAAATAAGAAAATCAAGGCCAGAGACAGGCAGGAACTTACCTGAACTCATACAGCTAATACCTAGGCTTGCTGCGAGTTGAATCCAGATCTAGCTACTCTAGTGTCTACACTGCAGGTACAATTACACTGTCCTACCTGCCCTTTCTTTTAGAGACATCTGTGCACACGCTAAAATAGTCTGTGCCCTGTTTGGTTAAAGTACACTGAGAAAAGTGAAACTAAGCCCTACTAGATTATCAGGCATCAGACTTGATCTGATAAATTTCCAGCAACAGATATTCCTATCGACCTACTGAGATTACACACGGCACCACGTAACATGTTTGGTCTGGACTAACTTTTTAAAAAGCAAATTTGCAATAATAAAACATGTAGCAATACTGAACTGTCTGATCAGGGCTAACATAAACACACCAGGAAGAGGGGCAGCAGTGAGTCCACCTAGGAAAATGGAAATGACTCAGGGTACTGATCACTAAGGGAATTTAATGCAGGGAGTGATTTTACCGTCAGTGGAAGAGCTGAGAAGCCTAATGGGGTATGCCGAGCTAACCTGATGTTAGCAAAGCAAACCTGACATTGGGAAGCAGGCAGTGTGAGAAGGAACCTTTGCAGGGTCTGAGCCATGGGTCCACGGGTCCTGGTGAAACTGGAACCTGAAGGGAGAACCTAGAGGACCCCATAGGTGCAACCACTGCTGGAGATGCTGCCCACATGCCCCATGCCAAGAGGAACACAAGATGCTCCACATCAAATCTCCCTCTAGTCAGGAGCCAGAGAAATAAGGAAAATAATTTTACTTTAGACACAGTTAGGTTAAACAGAAGAGAGAAGCAAGCAGGATGGTGATATTACTGAGAACCAAAGCAAGAAAACCAGCCAAAGGCCAAACCAAGCACAGGGGAGCCCACAGAGGTAGAGGTCAGCCCCTTGCACTGAACGGCAGAGCAGAGCAAGGGCAAAGGTGCGACTCGAGGCCCCGCTGGGACCCTCACAGCAAGGTGGTGGCGGTGGCCACAGATTGAGACAGCAGCAACAGCACCTAAACGCCCCTCACTCGCAGCTGTTCCATATTCTCCAGGTATCTTCCTCTTGCCTGTGGGTAAGGAGGGGGGATTACAGAGCAGGGGCTTCATTAGCAATCGGGAGAGGTTTGTTTCCGAGAGCCCCCCTCATTCGGACCTATAGCCAGAATGCATCATGACAAAGAGCCCTACCAGGAATGGACCCCTCTCTGATTAAATTTCATACATTTCAAAACATCAATCATGTGTTGATAAAATTTCTTCCTTCCTACCTAGGCACGAAAGAATCCAAACCAGGCTGTGCAAATGTGATCCTAAAAGCTAGGCAGGGAGAACAGATAAAGGCAGAGGCATTCAGCTTTCTCTCCGATTTTCTTGGCTCTCTCCCCGAAGACTTCCCTCAGGATTGACCGTAATTGGTTTTTGTTTGTTTCTGGAAAGGGGATGCTCTTTCTACTGCTTTTTATTATGTTTCTATTACTACTGAAAGGAAGAAACAGTAAGGGAAAATATTCCTTTTGGCACCAGAGCCGATTCAGAAATACTAATCAGGTGATGAGAAATATGAATTTAGCCTCCATTACAAGATGCACAATAACTCTCCGGTAGATGATAATGAGGTACAAGACCCTGTAATAGGCCTTGTGAAAACCACATTCAGGCCCTCCTGAAAAGGGGTAATGCTTTTACTCAAGTATTTAC